TGAAATCATTTATCATTATACAACATTATACAAGATTGTCAAAAAATAAAAATACCACTGTGCCAAGTGTTTCATAGCATTATAATAATAAAAATACACAATTCAATTGATTCAATCATTTATTACATATAACAGGAGAGACCATTCTGATAACAAAATTTTAACCCATGCAATTGTTGATTGACCAATCAAAATCATGAATTTTGATAATGTAAAAATAAACATTAATATAAAACATCGATTCATTTTGTCTACAATCACTTCGCCAACAGTTGTTTCATTAACAAATGGTTCAAATTTAAGAAGTTGGAAGTAACCATTTGAAATAGTCTCATAAATTAAATCATACTACTCGAAAATGTATTTAAAGGGTTGGTTTTTGACTTGGTTGAAGAATAACTCTCTTCCTAGCTCTTCTCTTGACCATATCTCTTGATGTCAAAATGATTGTAAACACAACCAATTTAAGATATATGATCAAGAGAGAACATGAGCAATGTATGAAAAAATCAAACAGTTGTTTTGTTAACAAATGGTTCAAATTTAAGCAACCATTTGAAATAGTCTCATAAATTAAATCATACTACTCTAAAATGTATTTAAAGGGTTGGTTTTTGACTTGATTGAAGAATAACTCTCTTCCTAGCTCTTCTCTTGACCATATCTCTCAATATAATCAAAATAATCTTAATATAATGAATGTCAAAATGATTGTAAATGTGACCAATTTAAGTTATATGGTCAAGAGAAAACATGAACAATGTATGAAAAAATCACAAATTTATTTAATAAAACAAAATTTACAACTCAAAAAAATTTTTTCTGTATGTAATAAAATTCCATTATTAACTATTAATAATCTAATTACAGTCAACCCCCTCTAAGTGCACGCTCTCATTCATTCCCAAGCTTGGTAAATAGAGATAAGTGCACACCCCCTCTCCCCTGCACTGCACAGTCATTTTTCATTCCCAACTATATAAAACTCCATCTCTAAGTGCACACCCATGACCTCCATGTGATCGTTGTCCAGTAAAAATTGTGCAACATTATAAAATTAAATAATTTTTCCTTGTACGTTAATTGATCATTTTATTAAGTAAAACTCCCTCTCTAAGTGCACACCCATGACCTCTATGTGATTGTTGTCCAATAAAAATTGTGTGATGTTATAAAATTAAATAATTTTTCCTTGTTTCCTTTGTTACATTAACAAAAAAAAATGGATAAAGAATTGATTTTTTGTAAGAGATGATAAAGAATTAAATTTTATACTTAGTAAATGATGATAAAGAATAAAGAATAAAGAATTATTTTGTAACAGGCGGGTAAAAAATTGTTCATTTTTATTAAGTAACAAGAAACTAAAGAATTCTTTCTTTTTAATAGATACAAAGGTTATTAGAAAAAGAACAAAGAAAGCAGACAGAGAAGCTTATGTAGTTGAAATTATTATAAATAAGTCATGAATCAAGAATTTTAATAACTAAACTCTTGTAACAAATTTTAAAAAATAAAAACTTTTATTATAAATTAACCTATATATTCTTACGTATCCAACCATCTAATTTTTGCACTCACAACACTTATCTCATTAAAACATTAAACATTTTATTCTTTTATTGCTTCTAAATAAAATGCCTCCAAAAAGTAAAGTAACTTTATCTAATTCTCAAAGATATGAATTTTGTTTATTTGCTGGCAATAACAAATTAACTAGAAAAGAATATGTTGATTGGATTGAACAAAAATGGGGAGTTAAAGTGGTTGAAACAACTATAACAAGAATTCTGCAAAAAAAAAGAAGAAATACTAAATGCTGAAGTTACTAATCCAGATGCCAAAAGACTTAAAAATCTAACAGTTCCTGAACTTGAACTTGCTCTTAAGGAGTTTATTTTAATTTATCAAGACAGAGTAATCTTAAGTGATGCTATTTTACTTGAAAAAAGCCAAGAAAATAGCAAATGGATTGGGGGTACCAGAAGGAACATTGGCTTTCTCTTCTGGATGGCTCCATAGATTTAAAAAATGGAATGGGATTCAAGTACGAAAGCTTCAAGGAGAGGCATTATCAGCTGATATAAATGCAATTACTGAAGCCTTACCATTATTGAAAAATATGTGTAGTAGTTATCCACCTGAAAGAATATACAACATAGACGAAACAGGTCTTTTTTATAGATTAGAACCAGATAGAACATTAGCCACACAAAGACTTTCTGGATGTAAAAAGAATAAAGAAAGACTTTCAAATGCCTTATGTGCTAATTCAGATGGATCACATAAATTGGATCCATTAATAATTGGAAAATTTAAAAAACCACAATGCTTTATTAATGTTGACCTT